AAATGCTGGGACTAGGGATATATGAGTGGGCCTACATAAGCTACTTTTGCCGTTAAATATGAACATTTGAAAAGTTTCCTAATTACTTCTGGATACAATCCTGGTAGGGGATAGACTAGCTGGCATACCTAATAAAATTTAAACCGAAACGCTTCAATATTTCCCGGATTGGAAATGTGAAGGTATAGTAGTGATTATCGTTTAATACAATCCACAAATCCTTCAGCAGGCCGGTTTTCGAATGTGTTTTCTTGCGACCGAGTGCAAAAAGTGCACACAATAAAGGTCCGACTTCTGTAGTACGGATTTTTCATATCGATTTCTGACGCCCGTGTAAATTCAAGTAGTTTTTGTTAAAACTAGGCATATGCATCTTTCTTTATGTCTCTACATGTACAAGAAAACTGCGTCGACAAATAATGTCTGTATCTATGAGTTTCTTAAGATCGAAAAACTATTTTCATAATTACTGCTTATAACGCATACAATGTGGTCGATATTAATTAAAAATTCGAATGATCATTATATGGTTTCTTCTGAATAAAGTATCAAACTTAATGATCTTACTTACACGGACAGCATATAACGTATTTTTTGAAAATTCCAAACACAAATGAAACTGCAGGTTGGATTCAAGATTATTTGAAAATGAAAGCATTTTCGACCAAAAATTCTCTTTCTTCAGGTAACCCATTTTAAGAAGGTGACTTCGGCTACCAAATGAATACCAGGCAGAATAATGTTTGCTTTTTTTCTATGAAATACATTGACATTTATAAGGGCATCGAAAATCAATGTGCAAAATTTATACTGCTAAAGTAGTTCTTATCCACCGGTTGTATTTTTTGCGAGCGGTTTAAAAAAATCTCGCTAAAAAGTCGGCATAATGTCGTGACCGAAGCAAATTTTGATTAGGCTCAACGATAAGCAATGTTACAACCCCACCTAAATTATCTTTATAAATCGTAAGCTCACTTCAGAATTTCGTTAACTCTTAATGAAATAGACAACTAACGTGCTTAACGTTTAAAAACATGGTCCGAAATGACTCAGCGCTTCAGTCAAGATAATTATAGTTCGTCTGAGGCGTTGGGCATTCTACAGACAAAGTTTGTGATAACAGTCGGGATGCTTCTTTTAGATGAACTCGGGATGGGGAAATTGGTGGTAGGAGCGGGTACAATGAGGAATGTTTGTAAGTCTCCGTCGTTTTTGCCTGAAAGTTGTCCCTACTTTTATAATATATATCCGTGGCCGTAAGTCAAAATAAATCTGTAAGGCGTATTTTGACTCGGGTGCTTTGATGGGATAATCCTGTCACTTTGCGCTCATGTGTTTTGACATCCGTCTTTTGCCATCCATTCTTAACATATTTTTTCGACAATATTTTCGCAGACTCATATGCATCGAGCGAATATTGAACACCTTGCATCCGCTACCTTTGTATTTATGAGCATGAACTGACGACCAAAAACCAGAATCAAAGAGATGATGTGCTCTTTGATCTTACGAAACGCGTTCCAAATGGAACTAGCTGACGACTGAGGAGCTCCATAAGA